ACTTTGCTAGACCCACAATATTCTACAACCTAAACTTTGCTAGACCCACAATATTCTAATCTTTGTACAAACCTCAAAGAGATCGAGAAATTCTAGAATGTCAAAATTAGGATTGGAAAATATAAAAATATAATACAAATACAAAAGGATAAAATAGGAATTACATAATTAATATTGGTTGACAAGGAAACTTATTTATGAAAAAACAAACGTGAAGAGAAGATTACGTATAACTTTCGAAAAGACATTTAAAAGGCGTGTTCGGTAGAGAAATTTTGAATGTTTTTTGGTGGTAATTCATTGAGACTAACGAATTCATTCCCAAATTGAGTTTGGACAGGTATTTCGCCTTCCACATTAAACAAGTTTTTAACAAATGATCGTTGATTTATTTGTGAATAATAGAAATTGAATGTTGAAATGTAGAATTGAGAAGTGAATGAAAATTATGTAGTAATGTATAAAATGAATTGTAAAATCAAGATGATCATGTAAAAGAATGTAGAAGAAGATTATAGAATGAATGCATGATATTGTTGATATTGATTTGTAAATTATACAGAGTAGAGTAGATAATGAGAGATTANAAATTTTGGTGGGAAAAAAATGTTGTAATGTGTGGGTATTTATAGAGGAAGAAAATTAGAGAAATGAAGAAAAAAAAAATTAAAAGTGACCAAACGGTCATATTAGACTTTTTAATTTTTTTTTATTTATATATACGAGCAATGAGCCGAGCGGCTCGTGGTTCGTAATAACAACTCATGCGTTCGTCGAAACGAGAGCAGCTCGTTTAAATGACGAGCCAACTGAGCCGGCCTGCTGGCTCGTGCTCTGACTCGTTTTTGGCGAGTCGAACGGTCGAGCTGACGAGCCGCTTGACTCGATTGCCACCTCAAATCGCAGCTTGGTTTAATGAGCGAACAATGTTGAAGTTGAGAACAATTCCTTGATTCGCCCACAAAATCATTTTAAGAGAAATATTAAGAAGACCGAAAATATAAAAATAGATCGAGCTATTAAAGAGAGAACTTTCCACCATACGAAAAAATTATAATCATATAGAATTCTCGCTCACCTAAACTTTAAGTATCGTCGAAAAAATATCCCCTAAATTTTATCACACAGTATTATACTCTTTGTACACAGAGAACTTAAAAAAAAAAAAAAATACTAGGACACAAGTTTAAATTTTTTTTTCTTTATTCAACTATAGTGAATTATTGACCTAAATTTTTTTTCTCCGTGTTTATCTGACACAAGGATGCAATTATTCATTCCAATTAGATTTTGGCACCAATTTGTTTTCTTATAATTTATAAATTCACAAAAACTTCTTTTTATTGGCACGTTTTTTTGAAAAATTTCCCAACAAATCTCTCCATTGACAGAAAAAGAGCCCAACAATTTTGTCTCTCTTTTGCAACTCTTCTCTTGATGACGATACTTGAGAGAAAATTAATAGGGTTTGACAATCCCAATTTTCAAAATGCAGAATTAATACACTCCATAATCTCATAGAATGTTAAATTTTAAATCAGATCATGTCGAACAAGCTTGTTAAAAAATCGTAGTGTTTCGCGTGTTTTACTCGCTAACAATTAAAAAGGGATCAGACGATTGTGTAATGGACAAACCTCTTGAAACAAAGTCCCAAAAATGGGTGTTTATTAAATATGAAGATTACAGTTTGGACACGAAGAAGATGCCTCCAAGGGGCGCAAGCACACAAGTACGAGGGAATTGAAATAATTAAAATTAATCTAAGAAA